CGCTGGGATGTGCCTAACGGTCAGCGCAACCGCGTTCGCGTCGGCCGCGCCACGCTAGCTGGTCGCAGAGATGCACCACCCAACGCCAAGCACTCATCGCAATCGCCGCAGCATGGGTTCTGCGAGCCAAGTTGCTGGCGGGTGGGTGGGGTGATTGCGCGAGCAGTGGAGTTGACAACTTCAAGTTCGGCAGGTGGAACGCACCGCTTAGATTCTATCTTCAACGATGAAAATTCTGACCCCCCCCCCCCCCCCGCCCGGATTTACCAGCTCCCCCTGGGCTGATACATTTGCATATGATTGTTTCCGATCGCTCATTTTGACGACGAACCGGTACCATCCTACGCAATATGGCATCGCCTGCCCCCTTTTCACCCCTGACAATTAATGCGCTGCGGCACCGTCGCTAATCAAAAGCAAAATGTCCACCAACATCCTATGCAACACATATTCCTATCTTTATTATCTCACATCAGGAGATCCCCGGGGATGGGCGGCACCCCCCCCAATAGAATCTGGCGGCCCCAGGGGCCCGTGGGGCCCCAGGTGTCCCTCGGGTGTTCTCTGGCCCGCCAGCTGGGCTTCCCAAGACGGTCCAAAGGGCCCGACGTCGCCGAATGATCTGCCCAAGACGCTTATGATGACTTGACGACGGCCCCAAAGGCCCCCAATACCGCCCAAGAGGCCTCCGAGAGGCCTCCGAAGAGGGCCCCAAGAGACCCAAATCGTTGATGCGCTTCGTAACACCTGGGCCCGACCAGGTGCTCCGCGGACTGCAGGCATGAGGCAGTGTACATATTTTCTCTTTGCGGCAAGACAGGAGGGCACGACAATGCAAGCCACGCGCGCGCAGGCCGATGAAACAGCGACCGCGCGCATACGGACAGGGAAGGAAGCGCGCGGGCAAGCAGCCGTCCAGACCGCTTCGCTGGCACGAGGTCTGTCGTGTGTAGATTCTCAGATCCGAGCGCGCAGTCAAGGCGCCGAGAGAAAGGCCACGTCGGGCTGAGGGGGGGGTCACGGTTTCGGGCCGCTCCTTCGAACCAGGCTGGCCAGCCCCTGCCCCTCTCGTCCCCTGCGCATGCCACTTCCGTCGTCGCCACAACCACGTCATCATCGTGGTCACCGCCATGTTAAACACCCTGTCCACAGGCGCTGCCCCTGACCTTCCCGACCCCCCGTGTCGCGCCCGCCAGGAGGGATCCCGACCCCTCCGTTTTCCCCAATAGGGCCCCCGAGTCCTGAAATTGTCCCGAATGCCCCGCATTTACCACACCTCTCGCTTCCCCTGCCCTCGGCGTTGCATCCCCGCCGAATCTTATCGCCGATGACCGTCGCGTGCGTCGCCCCTTGCCAACTCGGCGCGCGCGCACGGCGCGCGCGCACTCCATGGGCCGACGCCCATCCGCCTGTGACCTCCCCATCCCCGTCCCTGCCCATCGCCGGCGCTTCAGCCCGCATAGTCGCGCTTCACTCGCACACTGCACGCCAGCGCATCGTGCCAAGACCTCCAAGCGAAGCGCAGCGAGCTTCAAATCTTGTGTATATATATATATATATATGACAACGTCGACACGCGCGCGTCGCGCGCACATGCCGCAATTCTTTACACAAGCGTTAAATATCGTCAAGATTTCGAGACCGGCACTCCCGAAACAGATGGCAACACCGAATGTGTTGTTTCAACCAGATGTTTCAATCTATGTCGCTCCATTTTTTCATTGTGCTCGACCCAGCGGGCCTCTCGCGCGCACATGTCGAAATCATTCGATCGCCTTCTGCGCGCTTGTTTGGGGAGGGGGGCACAATCCATTCAAAATACCACCATGCGGGCCAGTCGCGCCCGTCGGCCGCGCGCGCATGTCGAAATCTTTCCGAAACCATCATCGTGGACACGTGGACACCATCGTCGTCATCGTCGTGGTCAGCATCGTCGCCGTCATCGGCCTTGACGTCGTCATCGTCATCGTCGTCATAAACGCCGCTATGACTATAATCGCGTCTGCTGGTGTCGACGCCGCCATGATACCGCGCCCGCCCGAGTCACCGGCTTGCGAAACGCGCGGAAGTTGAGGCCCTCAACAACCTCTGTGACCCATCTGGAAACGAAGCCGTCCCGCAAAGGGCCGGAAAACGGCCCGCGGCCCCTGAAAGCTAAATTCAATTACCAGGGGCTGGCCCTGTATGTCATTGTGCCGATTGTGTGCCGGGGTAGGTTGGGGGGCCCACCACTCCGACATCATGCGAGTGGCACGTAGCGCCCAGGCTCATGCAAAAAGAACTGCAGCAAGTGGGCATCGCAGAAACTCGACAAGAAGAAAAGTATGAAGTCGGATCCGAGGGGGAGGAGGAGGAGAAGGAAGAAAATGGAGAAGCAGAGGATGATGAGGTCACCAGTGGGCTGTTGGGAAAGAAGTGCAACAACGGGATCGCAGTCGAACGCAGGTAGGGTTGCCACACCTTGCGATGTGTAATTATGGCGCAGGAGGGTGTTCCGCACCTTGCGATTGCAATGGGAAAACAACTCCGAAGCCCATGTTTAGAGGATACCTCGAGCGAAGTTGTCGTTTTGAAGAATATGAGAACGACTTTGAATACGCCGGGTTCTCAGAGTGAGGGTCATCGCACCCGAAACGGCTGTTTTTTTTAAGAGCGACGTCCAACATAATTGAAATCCTTCATGTCTTTGCCCACGTCCTAGGTGAAACTCTTGTTTTCTCTGGACATCCCGCGCAGGAACCTCCTCCTCGTCCTCCTCCTCTTCCTCCTCCTCAGCAGCAGCATCAATTACCATCAGCATCGGCATCAGCATCAGCATCATCAACATCAGCATCAGGATCAGCATCATCAACATCCTCATCCTCGTCCTTATCCTCATCTTCATCCTCATCCTCATCCTCATCATAATCATCATCACCACCACCACCTCCACCACAATCCTCATCCTCATCCACATAATCAGCATCAGGATCAGCATCATTATTATCAACAGCATCGTCATCATCCTGGTCATCCTCATCATACTCCATTCGCACTCATCATCGCCACCACACCATCATCACCATCATCCCCATCCCCATCATCAGTCACACCACTCACACCCTCACATCATCATCATCACCATCATCATCACCATCATCATCAGCAGCATCATCATCATCATCCTCATCATCATCATCAGAAGCATTAACATCAGCATCATCATCATCATTATCTTCTTATTCATATTCATCTTGATCGTTATCATCATCATCATCCATCATGGCACACGCAGACAACGACTCTCTCTCTCTCCCTCTCATTCTGAGGAAGTCTCGAGCGGGAGCCTCGCCTGTGAAAGAATTGCGAGGGCGTCTCGAGCGGGACCCCTCCGTAGGGCCCCCACCGCTATGCTCGAATCCGAGGCGGTCACCGGAAAACCCTGTTCAACACACACACACAAGTTCGGTGAACCCTGGGGGCCTGAATCTCGAGGAAGTCTCGAGCGGGCGGATCGTCCCTGAACAAACTGATGGGGCGTCTCGGGCGCTCACTCGTCCGTGTGTGAATCGCGAGGAGGTCTCGAGCGGGAACCCCTCCCTATGGGGTCCCTACCTCCATGTTCGAATCCGAGGCTGCCATCGGTACACCGTCTAAAACCACAGGTTCGGTGACACCTGGGTGCATAAATCCAGAAGAAGTCTCCAGCAGGAACCTCATTCCTGAGCAAGCCGGACGCTTGTGCTGGGCGCTCACGCGTGTGTGAGTGGCGGCCATGGGGAAACCACGTAAATGCACAGCTTGTTTTTTGTGTGTGATTTGGCCAGACTGCCAGATTTGTAGATGACGGTTCTGGGAGCCTGCCACCACTGCTCTGCAAACATGTGCGAGCAGCGTGAGAGATGATCCTAACAAAAGCGGAGCAAGATTTATCGTAAGACACGAAGGTACTTCTCGAGAGAAGCTCAAGACATGCGCTGTGTATGGCGTACGGGGACTTCCCATAGGTGAATGGCTGGAACACAAATAGAACGGAGCTGTTCAAGCGGCAAGTGTGCACCCTGCTTTGGCTCCGAGCTAGATCTATTGAGATTCCACGCAGTTCGCGATCAGATTATTCGTCCTCGCCACGCTACTGTAAGTCAACATGGAGGGAGAGCTGCGCAGAAGAGAGAGGGAGAGAGAGAGATATATAGAGAGAGAGAGAGTCAGAGACAGAGACTTTGAGAGGCAATAACAGCAAGAGTCGGGGCGCTCAGGCTGGCCCTCAGAGTCGAGAGCATCTCGCCGCCAGATCGTCGGGGAAGCCGGGCCGCCTGGGCTCGGGCTGCAAACGCGAGGGCCAGCAATCCCGCGGAGCTGATCGGGGCTTTCCTCCTCGAGCCTGGACTGTGGGGCCCTGCCTCGCCGGCGTCGGCCCGCGCCCCCGCGCCCGAGCGCCTCCGCGGCCCCTCCGCGCACCGCGGCCGCTCCGAGCGGCCGCGAGCGCGGCCGCCGCCGCGGCGCCCGACGGCCTCCGCCCGGCCAGTGCCCCGCCCAGCCAGGAGCCTCGCCCCGCCCTCCGCCCCCCCGGCCCCACACGCCGAGCAGGACTCGCACCGCTGCTGCACGGCCTCCAAGACCCCGCCGCAGCCGACCTCCGCGCCGGGGTCCGAGCTGATGTCGTCCCCGTGAAGCTCCGCGATGGGCCTCCTTAGGGGGCCACATGCGAACCCTACCCCTACCTCCCACGATTTCTGAGGGGGAGGGTGGGGTTCACTTCGCTCGGGAGCTCCCGAACGAAGTGAACCCCACCTTCCCCCTCAGAAATCGTGGGGGGTAGGGGTAGGGTTCGCATGTGGCCCCCTACTCCTGGAAGAGCTCGCGTCGCGGCACGATGTGCCGTCGCACTCCAGCGGGGAGCCGTTCACCTGGCTGTCGATCTCGCAGCCGTCGCTCTTGTGCTCGCTCGCCTCGCCTTCCGCCGGGGCCTCCGCCGTGGCCCCCTCGGGGCACGGAGGCTGAGCGCCGGCGACGCCCTCTCACTTGCATTGGCGTACAAAACGAACCTGATGAGCCTCGTCGCAGAGGCTTTTGTAGCCGGTTTGTTTGCAATATTTTGGATTGTCGGCCATGTGATCTGGGGAATACTGCCAGACCTGCTTTTGAGCCGCTCTCTTCTGGCTGGTGTCGACTGCAATGGCGCCACATTCGAGGCAGAGCAGCTTGTACACGTCCTCCTGGGTCTGTGTCTCGTGAGCCCAATCAACCTCGACGCAAGTCCCGGACACGGCCTCACAAGTCTGTGTGCATTTTGCGCCTTCCTCGCCAATGAAGCACACCGCCGCGTCGGCCACCGCGGCCACCGCGGCGACTGCGACGATCTTCGCGGCAGGACCCATGGACCTGCGGCTGAAGTGGAGCCCTGGAACACGATGTCTCGCGGTGCGAGCTCGACGCTTGAGTGAAACCTTGAAGGAAAAAGGTTACGGATCAAAAATGCAGGTTTGGTGACGCCTGAGAGTCTGAACTCCCGGGAGGTCTCGGGCGGGAGCCTCGTTCCTGAGTTCATGGATCGGATGTCCCAGACGCTCTCTCGTCTGTAAGTTCATCGCGATGGAGTCTCGACAGAACTGGGGCAACATGGTGATGAACATTTGTCTACGCGTGGCCGCTCGCCTTGCTGATTACTTCCGCCTGGAGGGCGGTGCAGCTCGAGCTTGGGCGTCGGCCGTGCGATTGTGGCACATGTAGTGCAGTTTTCGCATCTCTGCTAGCGCACCGTCTGGTGCAAGGCTTCTGACTGACTGATGGAGTCTCGAGCGGGAGCTCCTCCCTGTGGGTTCCCCACCTTCATGTTCTGTCGAATCCGAGGCGGCCATTGGACATGACATTTCTGCAACAACAGAGGTGTGGTGACACCTGGGAGCCTGAACCCCAAGGAAATCTCACGCGGGAGCCTCATTCCCGAGCAAGTTGACAGGAGGTCTCGAGCGAGAGCTTTGTTTGTGAGCGAATCGCGAGAAGTTTTGAGCGGGAGCTTTGCTTTTACGGAGTCCCCGCCTCGGGTTGGCAATCTGAGGCGGCCATCGGGATATTGGGAGCCTGAATCTCGGAGTAGTCTCGAGGGGGAGCATGGTGCCTGAGCAAGTTGAAAGTGATATCTCGGGCGGCAGCGCCTGCAAGTGAATCACGAGGCAGTCTCGAGCGGGAGCTCCTCCCTCTGGCCCCCACGTTTTGTATTATAAATCCGAGGCGGTCATCTGGACCGCCTGTAAAAGAACAGGTCTGGTGGCATCTGGGAGTCTGAACCATGAGAAAGTATTGAGCGGGAGCCTCGTTCCTTTCTCGAGCGTCCTTTGTGATTGGAGGCGGCCATCCTCAATCAAGCTTGTAACCGTCAACAAAAGCAAACAAATACCAAACATGAAAAGAACCTCCATAGTCACGGCACACTGTGCGCTTGGGACTGTGACGCCGCGATCTGCATGAATGATGCGTTTTATGTTTCACATGTGAAGGATGTCCCGATCGAAACGGCCAACAAACTGGCGAACGAGACTTGCAATCCATCGCGAGTGAACTATACTCCCTCGGGGAGGTGAAACTGATTATATATATATACATCGATACATAATAATAACGATGATAACCGTGTTCATGATTATTGAGTTGTCCGACGTCGGGGACGCCTGCCCCTGCAGAGCCAGCTGAGACACCAGCGTGCCCCCGAAGATCAACATCTGAAGGACGGGGCTACTTCCCGCGGCGCGGTTTATAGATGTAGGAAGGGGGGATGGAAAAGGGGACGTTGACCATAAAGTAGCGTTGCCGAGCACATCGGCCACTTCGACCACAACTGCTGCCAAAGTTGCCGCCGAGCCCTTCAGAAACCAACGAACCAGACTTGGAAGAACGCACACGTAGTCAACAACGAAACGTGACAACAAAGAAGATGGCCAACCGCAAGAAGCGACACGTAAAGCAAACCATATATACATGTATAAATACACAGGTCTGTATTGTGAATATGTGTATATATACACATAGATAGTTAGTGATCTAGCCAATACAGAATGTTAATCTACAAACGGAATCAGGAATGCAATCGCGACAAGTCTTTAGACCCCTCCCCAAACAGTGGACACTGATTATCGTGGCGGCACCCGTATTGACTTACTGGGGTCCCTCCAATAATGGAAACTAGCTATTTCTCCGCGGCACCTGTCGCACAACAACGACGACGACGAGACCAACGAAGAGATGATGAACAACGCCTTCGGCGAATAACATGTCAATCTACATTGCAATCCTCTTACAACCGTGTTCCAACGTTCTCTGTTGTGCAAGGTAGCCCAAGGATCACTCGCCCGTGGGGGGAAACGCAACATTACCCAGCCCACTCAACAACAGAGGAAACATAATGCCAGCCGCGACGGCAACACCGCTTACGACTGCGAATGTCACTACAACCACAAAGACGCTTACGCTTGTAACCACAACTACAGTCACGAGTGCAAGCACGATGATCAAGGACTACAGCCACAGCCAGATAATCCGATTGCAATACGAATGAGAAGATGCCCACACATCCCCTCGCGTGTAGGATAGCCCAGCATGGATGCTCCCCTTGGCGAAAGAAACCCCCGCCATTACCCAGCCAACCAAACAATAAACAGAATATAGTGTCTACCGCGATGGCCAGAACAACGGCGACTACGATAACGAATAAGGAGGCCCGCAGCAGGACGAGTAGTAGTAGTAGTCATAGTCGTAGAGGCGGTTGCAGTCGCAGTAGTAGTAGAAGTATAGTTCGTAGCAAAAGAAGTAGTAAAATTCGTAGAAGCAGTGGTAGCAGTAGTAGTAGTAGTAGCAGCAGCAGCAGCAGCAGCAGTAGTAGTAGTAGTAGTAGTAGTAGTCGTAGTAGTAGTAGTAGTAGTAATAGTAGTAGTAGTAGTAGTAGTAGTAGTAGTAGTAGTAGTAGTAGTAGTAGCAGTAGTAGAAAGTGTAATAGTAGTAGTAGTAGCAGGTCGTCGTATTGGCGATACTGCTGGTAGTAGTAGCCGTCGTAATAGTAGGAGTATTAGTCGTAGTAGTAGTAGTAGTCGTCGTAGTAGTAGTAGTAGTAGTAGTAGTAGTAGTAGTGGTAGTAGTAGTAGTAGTAGTAGTAGTAGTAGTAGTAGTAGTAGTAACGGTAGTAGTGGCAGTAGTAGTAGTAGTAGCCGTCGTAGTCGTAGTAGTAGTAGTAGTAGTAGGAGTAGTAGTAGTAGTAGTAGTAGTAGTAGTAATGATAAAAGTAGCCGTCGTAGTCGTAGTAGTAGTAGTAGTAGTAGTAGTAGTAGTGGTAGTAGTAGTAGTAGTAGTAGTAATAGTATTAGTGTTAGTAGTAGTAGAAGTAATAGTGGTCGTCGTGGGCGTAATCGTGGTAATCGTAGCCGTAGCAGTAGTAGTAGTCGTAGCAGTTGCCGACGTAGTAGTAGTAGTAGTAGTAGTAGTAGTAGTAGTAGCAGTAGTAGTAGTACTAGTAGTAGTAGTAGTGGTAGTAGTAGTAGTAGTAGTAATAGTACTCGTAGTCGTAGTAGTCGCCGTAGTAGTAGTAATAGTACTAGTAGTAGTGGTCGGAGTAGTAGTAGTAGTAGTAGTAGTAGTGGTGGTAGTAGTAGTAGGAACAATGGTAATAGTCGTAATAGTAGTACTCGTAATGAAAGTAGAGATATGATAATAGTAGTCGTCGCAGTACTAGTGTAATAACAACCATGAGTACAAATAGCAGTAGTAGTAGTAGTAGTCGTAGTAGTAGCAGTAGTAGTAGCAACAGTAGTAATCGTAATCGGAGTAGTAGTCGTAGTAGCAGTAACAATTGCAGTAGAGGTGGTAGTAGCAGTCGTATGAGTAGTAGTAATTGCCGTGGTCGTAGTTGTAGTCGTCGTAAGAGCAATCGTTGTACTCGTCGTCCTAGTAGTAACAGCGGTAGTAGTAGTCGTAGTAGTAGTAGTAGTAGTAGTAGTAGTAGTAGTATTAGTAGTAGTAGTAGTAGTAGTAGTAGTAGTCGTAGTAGTAGTAGTAGTAGTAGTAATAGTAGTAGTAGTAAAAGTAGTAGTAGTAGTAGTAGTAGTAGTAATAGTAGTAGTAGTGGTAGTAGTAGTAGTGGTAGTAGTAGTAGTAGTAGTAGTAATAATAGTATCAGTAGTAGTAGTCGTAAAGCAAATACTAATCATAACCGTAGTCGTAAAGCTAATGATGCAACACATACACATGCTCGTAGTGGCAATCGCGGTGCTAAAATAGCCGGTAGCTGTCGTACTTGTACTAGCACCCGGAAACATAGCAGTAGGCGTAACACTCGTAGTAGTATAAGTCGCTTTAACAGTAGCGTCAACATAAGTAGTAGTAGCAGCAGTAGTAATAGTAGTAGTAGCAGTAGCAGTAGTAGTAGTAGTAGTATCAGTAGTAGTAGTAGTAGTAGTAGTAGTAGTAGTGGTAATCGTCAGTCGCAACAGTTGTAGTACGGGTAGTAATAGCAGTAGTAGTAGTAGTAGTAGAAAAAAATGGTAGAAAGAGTAGTAGTAGTGGTAGTGGTAGTGGTAGTGGTAGTAGTAGTAGTAGTAGTAGTAGTAATCGTTGTAGTAGTAGTGCTTGTAATCGTAGTAGTAGTAGCGGTCGTAGCAGTTATTGTATTATTATTATTCGTAGTGATAGTAGTAGTAGTAGTAGTAGTAGTAGTAGTAGTAGTGGTGGTAAACATACGAGTAGTAAAAGTAGTAATAGTAGTAGTAGTAGTAGTAGTAGTAGTAGTAGTAGTAGTAGTAGTAGTAGTAATAGTAGTAGTAGTAGTAGTAGTAGTAGTACTAGTAGTCGTAGTAGTAGTAGTCGTCGTCGTCGTCGTCGTCGTCGTACTAGTAGTAGTAGTAGTAGTAGTAGTAGTCGTAGTAGTAGTAGTAGTACTAGTAGTAGTAGTAGTAGTAGTACTAGTAGTAGTAGTAGTAGTAGTAGTAATAGTAGTAGTGGTAATAGTCGTCGAAGTGGTAGTACTAGTAATAGTAGTAGTAGTCGTCGTCGTCGCTGTCGTCGCCGTCGTCGTCGTAATGATAGTACTCGCATCAGAAGTAGTGGTCGCAGTCGCAAAAGTAATAATAGTAGTAGTGGTAGGGGGAGTCATAGTAACAGCAGCAGCAGCAGCAGCAGCAGTAGTAGTAGTAGTAGTAGTAGTAGTAGTAGTAGTGGTAGTAGTAGTAGTAGTAGTAGTAGTAGTTGTAGTAGTAGTAGTAGTAGTAGTAGTAGTAGTAGTAGTAGTAGTTGTAGTAGTAGTAGTAGTAGTAGTAGTAGTAGTAGTAGTAGTAGTAGTAGTCGTAGTAGTAGTAGTAATAGTAGTAGTAGTAGGAGGAGCAACAGTAGTCGTAAC